CAAAGCAGAATTAAAATCAAGACATATAAATAGAAAAGTCTATCGAATTTACATTCACTATATTTTCGAAGGTAATGACTACAATAGTATTCCTCGTTATTGCTGTGATTGCCCCAATGGCAAACGTACAGTGGGATGCTGTTCTCATGTAGCAGCTATTATTTATTATCTATCATATGGACGATATTTGTCCAAAATCGTACGTCCTGCTGAGGTCCTAACTAAGTTATTTGCGACTCAAAGTGTTCCGATTGTAATTAATTACAACAGTGACGATGATTAATATTTTGTTTCTTGTATTTTGATTGACACGAAAAAGTAATAATAATAAGTATTGAACACTGGCTGTTTTTTTTTCATTTCTTTTTTAACTATTATCCCATCTCTTAAGACTATTTACTTATGTTTTAAAACGAGCTGATGTGAAATTTCGAAAAAAAAAACAATGATGTAATGTGCACCTTATAATACAGGGGTATACTATAAGACAGAAATCACATATAATTTTTTTCCGTTGTGTTGCACCAACTTTTTTTTCATGCAATTTTTATGGGTAATAGAGCACACAAAGGAGCATAACATATATTAATTTCGTGATTGTAAGTCACAGAGAACTCAGAAAAAAAACATGTTTTTTTTTATTTTTTATTTTTTTTATGTAATTTTTCATTCTAAAAATTATAAAAAAATATATGTGATATACTCTGTAATGTAACCTAACACCTCGCGTTAGTTTCACTTCTTTATCTTAATTAGCTTCAGAGATATATCACATTCAGTAATAGTCAAGCTCACGGATATTTTGCTCTTATATCTCAAGGTCAAAGCGGAAGTCGGTCGCGAAAAGTACATAAATCGTGTTTGAACATCAAGTCGATATTAAAACATAAGTTTCGATATCGATTCCCATTTGGGGGGCCGACTCGTCATACGTATCCGGCTAAACCCTTTGTTAGTATTTTTTTTTCTTATAGTTTTAGTAGCGGAAATATGGCCAAACACTGGCCATATTTGCCGTCACGCATGTTTACGTTTTCATATTTATGAATGAAAAACCCACTATTATTTTGATAATTAAACAAAGAAATATCAAATTACAATCGTCACACAACATCGTAATATGATTTACAAATATTCTTATTCGAAGAATAATAAAATACAGAACAATACTTACTTAATTTTTTTATAACCTGTACAGTTGTTTTGCTTTAACCGACACTGGACGACCAGCAGGGCGTGGGAAGGGTTAACAGGTACTCCGTTCGGATACATGCGACACTAGCGACAATTTATGGTCGCGTTTAGGTTATTAAAATATTTAGTGTTTGTAATAATGGTATGTGGCTATATTTTTCGGCTGGCCATATTCGACCCAGGTACCTTAGTAGGTAAGTACATGATTCGAAATTTTCCGAGTTTTCGTTCGAGAACAAATAAAATAAGCCCTCAGGAGTCATGTTAATTCGTACGAGTTAAATATATAACCTAATTATGCTGTACTTTTAATTATTGTGTAAATTAGTTTTCAGCAAGAAACTCTTAAAATATGGGACCTTGTACACTTCTACTCCAAATAAAAACATATACAGCACACAAAGATAAGCATGTTTTTTTCGTCAATATACCACAATACTAATAAAAAGCATTGTAACATTTATGGGACATGAAAACAATTTTCAGCACCATTACTTTTAAAATAATGATAGCACACACAATTGACCGCGGCCGCGCGCGACTATCATCACAGGGCAGCGCAGGCTACTCACAAATGTTACGTTACAGAAATAAACAATTTTTGCACCATTAATATTTCGCGACGATGACTGTTCAGATGTGATAGTAACTGTATTATATTTCGTTACAAAACACCAGACTTCGATTAAATATTCGCTACAGACGATAAAGTACCTAACTATTTTTAATCCGAATATCCGAAAGCGGTCTTGGTCAATCACTAAAGCTAGTTATTAGCTGACTATATTAACGACTACGTATTTTCCGCGACTTCGCCCGCATAAATTATAGCCTATGTTACCTGCGTATGATGTAGCTGCTTAGTCAATGCCGTAGTTGAAACAATTTTCATCATCGGATTTATATTTAAGATTACTTATCCCCTTCAAACATAGTTATAAACTTCACCGATTTATATTAGTCATATAGGTACCTAAATCCAGTGTAAAATATACGATATTTTTAACTTTTTAAAAAAGGAGCTGAACCAATATTGACGCGGTTTTTAGGAAAGTATTTTAGTGTTGACATTGAAAAAATATCAATACCACTAAATATCATGAAATAAATCTCAAAGCGACTTATAATATAACAGGGAAGTCTTCGTTGACCTAGTTACCTAAGTAGGTACTATTCCTACGTATTAACATGACCGCTGCAGGCCTATTCTATTTTTCTGAAACTATTTTTGGCGACGTAACGCATTTGTATATTTAATATTATTTTAAGTAACGGATGTAGTAGGTAGGTACATGATTCGAAATTTTCCGACTTTTCGATCGAGAACAAATAAAATAAGCCCTCAGGAGTCATGTTAATTCGTACGAGTTAAATATATTACCTTATTATTCTGTACTTTTAATTGTTGTTAAAAATAAGTTTTCAGCAAGAAACTCTTAAAATATGGGACCTTGTACACTTCTACTCCAAATAAACTGGCCCGACTTCAATAGCATTTTCTTAATTAAGTCGCTTTTGAGATGTTTTTCTTTTTTCAATTTATCTGTGCATAAGTCAAAAGCACCGAACACCCCCAATTATACTTGCAGTACCGCTAATTACTTATTTTTAAACCTTATTGCGTTGGGGGTATATAACTTCAATATATTTGTAAATTGGCGTGCTGCTGTGTAATATTAAAACACATTTTTTTCATCCCAGTATATTTAATTTCTTACAAATATTATACAAATTACAATCTTAATATAATGCGTATATTTATATACCCTCTTATAAGCTACATCATTACGTCTACAATCAACATTCATCGATAAACCTATAAAGGCATTTTGGTTGTATAAATTTAATTCAGTCCAATCATTGCAATATTGTAACAAGCAAAATGACGTCATTAAATATCATATCATTTAGCAAAGTGGTGAACGGATTCCAGAAGGTGCCAAGTTCAACTGAACTTTTTTCAGTTCATCCATCATATGAAGTACAATTAAAACACAAACATAGTACCTCATATAATGTTGATATATCGGTTTTATATTGTGTAATATGAGATTTAAATATAATTTATACGAATGTAAAAAAAGCTTGAAAAATACCTGAATTTTTGCACGTAAATTATTTCCACTATGCCTTCCACATTCTATAAGAGGTTCATCCCCTCTCTATCTCTACCCGTTCCCTTTTGAAATTGCAACAGTCAGGGTTAATCTTTAGACCGCACTCATCTCCTCTGAGCCAGATTTTAAAATGATTTCAGAAAACATCAATGAAATATTTTCATTATGTAAGCGATGTACTTTCTATAAAATTTTGCTTTCTCATACCTATTTCTACCTACCTATTTCTGTTTTATTGCCTTTAACAAAGTTATATAATAATATACTTTTGATGCAAAATGTAAGAAATGTCTCTTAAAAAAGGTATTTACGATATTTTTGTACCATGAGGTCACGAAATTCTACGTAATATATACGTATGTATATCTGTTATGCAGCGCATCATGATTCTAAACCGCGAAATTTATAATAAATCAGTGAATATATTTATAAATCACAAATATAATAATTACTTATATTAGTAACTCATACAATTAGTCAAATTTGACAAATTTCAATCAAATTGACAAAACAAATAAATTACCACATGGGTAGATAACACAAAGTACTTTTAAGAAAGAACGTTCGATAATTTTTGTACCTTAAGATCACGAAAAGCTACGTAATATATAATACGTATGTATATCTGTTATTCAAAACATCGTGATACAAAATGGCTACTTTTTTTTATAAACGAGTTGGTATTGATCTATAATTATAAATTATAATATTCATGCAAGTAATCAAAATTGACAAAACAAACATATTAGCACTAAGGTAATTAACACAGAGTACTCCATAATATGTAGTCAAATTCAAAGTCTATTACAGAAAATCGAATCAATCAAAAGTGATTATGGTAAATGTAAGGTACACAATATTATTAGGGCACCTAGTTTCAAATCAATAGTTAATATTAATTTTAAACTAGCGCCATACAATCAGAAACATGCTATAAATTTTATTATTAAAGATTTTAACATTCCACTTTTATCTTTTTCAATAAATAATAACAAAATTTTTAATCAGTTCTTAATTCGTCATTTGAAAACTGATTTAATATTAAGATTGCATTATAGGTATAGGTACCGATATGTAATCTTAGAAATCAGTAACATATATAAGTTCTTTTTTTGTAATAATTACGGTTGCAGCGTGGCTAAGACTAGTAGCCTAAACAGACCACCCTCAGAGTCAACCTGTGGTCAACAAGCAGTTTTTTTTTAATGTAATATGTTTCAGCGCTAACCGCAACTTTTTGCCCAGCCAACGCAGAAATGCATTTTGATCGTCCAGCAACCTTTCAAAACAATCAGCCATACCAAAAAATTTTGGCTATATGGTCCATAATATAGGTGCAATATTGCACAACCTTACACATTGTCACAGCTACAAATTAACGAAAATATTACTATTTTAGAAGCCGCTTGAAAAGTGTCCTTATCACATTTACCATTGTTGTTTATCTCGATGAATCATAGTGCATTGCTTACGCAAAGACTTAATTGGCAATTCTAAAAAAGTAACGGTCCATAAAAATTAATTTACAAATTTAGTATGGCAATCAAAATAGTAATTAGATGGACATTATCATTTAATTACTTTAAGAAATCTAAACATAATATTTGAATAACATAATGAATGATAACAGCATAAGTAATTATTTACCAAAAGAGCTTTATTCTATGATAAATTTTTGTCTTTTTTCTTATAAGTTTATTTACGTAATAAACGAATTTATCAAGAAAATAGTTTAGTAAACTACAATATACAAATAAAATATAAGTATATACGAAATAGTACTCTTTAACAAAACCACACAAATTAACAAACAAGACACTTCTTAAACTAATAGATAAATGATTTATTTGAGTAGATACAAATATTTAGAATATGCAAAATATTCTTATTTATGCTCTTTTAAAGAACTTATCATATATTATAATGTCACAGCAATTATTAGAAATCATAAAATCATTTTTTTAATCATTTTTATCTTTTAATTTCATTTGAGTTTGGTTTCATTTTGAAAATCATTTAGGTTGGACAACATCTGGCAGCTCGTTGTTGTCTTTTTCTATATCTCCATCCTTTTCTGTCGCTCATCACCGCTATTTGCAAAAGCAAGATAGTCGCACAACCACTACCTTTTTAATAGTAGTTCTGAGAAACAGAAAACATGATGGACGGAACGGAAAAAGGCGATACTAGTAGTTCAACCCTTATTGGTTTAAATAAATCAATAAATATTTAACCAAACATAGCTCCGCAGTTAGAGCATCTCCTGTTCTTCAATGCCAGACAACACAGTATTCCTAATGGGAAGAACAGAATAGCACAGAGTATACCGAGACAAGTGAAGTCATCTTCTAGTATGCCAACACGGCAAGCAGGACAGGCCCCCACGGTGATGATAGGTGGTTGTATAATAATACTGGTTGCACCATAGTTGGGAACGTAAGTGGTTCCTGGAGGTGGGGGTGGGATCGTACCATATGGTGTGTAACCAGGTGGTGGTGGAGGATATGAAGTGTTTGCTCCTTGTTGAGGTGGTGGTGGTGGTGCGCCTGAAACGTAAATATAAAAGTGTTCTTTACTCGATTTCGGTAATTATCTAAATCTATATTTATAAAAATTTTGTGTCACAATGTATGTTGCCAATAAACTCCAAAACTACTGAACCAATTTCTATCAAATTTCACATGTAGCCGTATTTTGGTCTAACTTACTGGATAGGATAGTTATCATCTCAATAATTCCCTTATGTTGTGAATGTAAACAAATAAAATGTTCTAATTAACTGTTTCTTAAGCAAGTGTTTATTTACTGTTTAGTTTTATGGAGTTCTCATAGATGGCGGTGTATGTTGATTCATAGATAAAATTCTTCAATATTGTTTGACATCTAGGTTGCAAATACACCCAATAGATGGCGTTGTGTTCTAGATCGTGTTTATTTTAAAGAAATCTGCGATAACGTTTCTTTCAAAAAATGTTGCGTAGATTACGTTTTTGATAAAATTTTGTGTAAACTTCAGAACTGTTTTTTTTTCATCTTTATTTCAAATTGCATTGAATTGAATTAATATCTCTAAAGTTTCAAAGATAAAGTGCTGAAACATATTCGACTTTTGTTGGTATTTTGTTGTAATATCTTTGAACTTAAACATCAAGGTAATTTCATCATCATCTCAAAAAACAACAGCGTTTTGGAAAATATATGATGCCCAAAGTAACTATGATTAACAAAATATATGAGTAACAAAAGCTAGTTGTAACATATTTCATTAGAAAGAGCAAACATTCTTATAAACTGTTGTAAACTCACAATTATATTTAAAATGTTTTTCTTTAAAGTGGAAGAATCTTTTCTCAAACAATTTTAAGTACAAATATTTAACTAACAAGAAACTAATAAGCAAATTAACCTATAAACTAGATCTTAATCAAATATAATGAATCACTAAGCTTTCTAGCCTTAAAATCTAAAAAATTAATCGGTTAAATTGGTTTACTGCATGATTAGCAAGCGAGAATAAATTTAGTTGAAATATTAATTATAAGATTTATCTCAGCAAAGTCATACAAAACTTATTTCTTTATTGAAGCTGATCTTGAAAAATTACATAACAATGAAATACTTTACTTATTACTATACTTAACTAATGAATTATTATAAAAATAAACTGATATGTTACTAATCAGTTAAAATTAGTATTTGTTTTGAATTAAATCTAAATAACCATTTAATAATAAAGGACCGCATATATAGTTCACATGAGATTACTACTTTAGTCTATAGACCTCATGGTCAAATTGGAAGTCAGATATTGTTGATTAGAGATCAGTGCTTAATGAGCTTTATAGAATTGCTTACAAAATAGCAGTAGGTACATGCCACAACAGCAATTCCTAACATGCGTAGTATGTTGTCGCAGGCCTAAGTTACTGTTTATCAAAATGATTCATCCATTGTTTGCATTGGTAGACAAGTGATTTTCAATACGATGGTTACATTTACAATCTTACCTGGAGGAACTGTTGCCGAATATGGGGGAGGCTGTTCTGTTACAGTAGGTTTGTCCATTTCAATTTACTTATTATTAAAGTACTTTTCCTTGTTTCTAAAATAAAAACACCAAGAAAACCTGTGAACAAAACTAATTAGACTTCTCAAAACTTCTATCGGCTGTCAATCAAACTAACAAATGTGTCAACTAGTTCTCTTATTGGTCTGTGGATGTCAGTAAGCGCTGGGCTGACTACATTGTCCATAGACATAAATGAACAAAAAGGTTATGAATTATTGTACTATCCCTTATGTATTAGCTCCAGTGAAAAAACGCCCCAAAAAATGTTGCCTACGACACTATAGAAATATTTTTAAAAAATGGTTGAAGGTTATGAAAAAAAGCAGATTCTCTCACAGCCACTAATCACGTGCATGTTGTGAAGATCATTTCGATGTAAGTACAATACAATAATGTAAGTACAGTTCATTAAGTTTAGATCAAAAAGTGTTTCTTTTAAGCAACAGATACCTAATCTAAAACTGTAGCTAGTTGAATGAGCAGATTAACGGCCTCACGGTAGGCTAAGGACGGGGCGGTTTGCATTGGCGTTGGCGATGACTTTTTGTATTAAAAAACGAACCCATGTTTATAAATTCTAATCACAAATGGTTTAAAATTCACGCTTTTGTACGTTTCTACAAAACTGTGATGTAACGAGCCCTCAACTTTAATGTTATCTAAGCAATTTTCTTGTTAAATTGAAGTAATAAAAATACGTTTTCTAATATTTTTCTATTATCTGACTGACGAACTAAATAGAATTTCTTTTTTTTTACCAGTCGTCATCCCTATTAAATATGATTTATTTGTTATTACTAGCAGATGAGTTTAACTTTCTCTATGTGGGTCTGTGTGTTCTTTTTTTGTGTGTGTATGACCATGACCATATCGATCGATACTGTATATCTTAGTGGAGGCTTAGTTTTACAAAAACACGATTATTAGTATATTAATTTTTATTTTACAGATTGAAAGTAATATAGGAAATCTTAAAAAGAAATTAAACCGACTTCGAAAAATTGGAATAAAGAAAAACGTCTGGATAGAGAGAAATAATACCATAAATTTTTATCTTCAATAAAATCGAAACATAAAAAGCGCATACACCAACAATTTTTTGAGGTTGGTGTCAGCCGCGTCATTAGTAAGAAGCAAAACAGCGCTATCTGAAAATCTATTTTTCTCTTACCATACATGATATGTTTCTTGTATATATGTCTGGCGCCGACCTTAAACCTAAGTTTATCTTCGAGAAGCAGCTAAAGTTCGATATCATGTTAGTTTGCGTCGTGATATTCCATCTTTAGCCGATTATTGTGCACATTAACCGAAACAAAACTGCTAAAAATGTATTCGATGGACGCGGACCGGCAGAGGGCTTGAAGAGGCGGTGGGGAGACAATGTGCGCATAGCTTATCATGTTCCAACAAATAGTTTCATATTATTTTATAATTGTGACTTGATTTTGTTTTAAGTAATTAACACTGAAATAGTGTTATTTTTTTATTTATTTTTTATGGGATAGGGGGAAGACGAACAGACGGATCACCTGATGGTAAGTGATTACCGTCGCCCATGGACACCTGCAACACCAAAGGGGCTACAAGTGCGCTGCCGGCCTTTGAGGGACGAATATACTCTACGCTTGAAAGTTTGAAGGTCGTATCGGTCCGGAAATACCGCTGGCGACAAACTGTTCCAGAGTTTGACTGTGCAAGATAGGAAACTTCTAGAAAAACGCACAGTTGAGGACATCCAACCATCCATCAGGATTTTTTGTCGCGAGGAACGATTGCGGAAGGTAGCGGCAGGCATGAGTCCGAAAAATTCCTCGGAGCATTCCCCGTAATAGATGCGATACAAGATGCACAGTGAAGCAACATCTCTACGCAAGGCCAGTGGATCAATCCGACTTGAAGTGTCTCGGCAATCGACGTTTCGAGTCGCTCTCCGCTGAATGCGGTCTCGAGGGAGAAACTGGCATTGGGGTGCCCCTGCCCACAATATGTCGACACCAAGAATCTCAATATTAGCTAAGGCAGTTAAGGGAATGTTTTGAATGCGAGGTAATACGACAAATGGGGTTTTTTTGGCGGTGAACGCGCAAACCAGTGTCTTAGTAGGGTTGAAATGGACCAAATTAAGTCGACTCCAGTTAGAGACTTCCTCTAACGAAGAATCGATAACAGACACAAGTTGATTCCGGCTCTCAATGACGCTTTCCCGAGAAATACCTGCACGACCGTTATAGGAGGAGTGCATCGTGCTGTCATCTGCATCAATGAATACCGCTAATGTGCAGCACGTCATTAATATGCAGAAGAAAAAGTATAGGTGATAGCACACATCCTTGGAGAACACCAGCATTAATAGACAGTAAGTCACAGCATTCACCGTCGATTAAAACCTTAATGCTTCTGTCTGCCAAAAAAACTAGTGACCCATGCACATAATTTCTCGGGAAGCCCAATTGAGGGAAGTTTAGATAGAAGAGCTTTGTGCCACACTCAATCGAAGGCTTTCGCTATGTCCAAACTTACTGCCAGGGCCTCGCCCTTTGTTTCAATTGCCTTAGCCCAGTTATGTGCCAAGTAAACTAGAAGATCGCCAGCAGAGCGACCACTACGAAATCCGTATTGTTGATCACTAAGCAACTGGTGATCCTCTAGGTGCCGAAGAAGCTGGTGGTTGATAATGGACTTCATTATCTTTGAAAGCAAAGGGGTTATAGCGATCGGCCTGTAGTTGGACGGGTTCGAGCGGTCACCTTTTTTTGGGATCACATGCACTAAAGCAGTCTTCCATGAGGTTGAGACGACGCCAGACGAGTAAGAGAACCGGATTAGGCGCGTTAAGACCGGTGCCAACTCTGGAGCGCACGTCCTTAGCACAATACCATCGGGCCCACTTGACTTGTGGATATCGAGGGAGAGTAGCGCACTGAGCTTTGGTGAAACCGGATATCTGGCATAAAGCTCTTGCACCGTAGAATGGTGGGCGGTTTCAGCCCCCGGTCATTCAAAGTTGAGTTGGATGCAAAAAAAGTTACCCAGGATTTCTCTTTTGCATCATGGGCTAATGAAAAGTTATCTTGGTGCAACGGTGGAAATGGAGGCGTGCAGAAATTACCTAGAATAAATTTGGCAAGAGACCAGAAAGCCATTTTTGGTACGGCAATTCGTTGGGCCTTTGTTTGCTGTTCGGTTGGTCAACTGTGGGTAATGGCACCCCTGATTGCACTGCTGCCCACAAAGCTAAAGTACCGTGGCCCACCGTTACAATTGGAGAAAGGGCCAACTGAAGCTTTTCCTTCGTTGGTCCTAGTCACCTTTTACAACGTAAAGCCAACTGCGAATTTTCCCACAATTTTCTCACATAGGGCCAACAAACATTCTATAACGTTGGGCTGACCGTTCATGGTAGGGCAACTGTGGTATTTAATTGTAGGCCTAACTCAACTTTTACTATATAAGGCCAACTGCAGTGCTCCTCATAAAGGGCCAAGGACACAGGGCCAACTAAGATTTACTCATAATAGGGCCAACATATTTTGCAAAGTAAGGCCTACATACACCATCTTTGTAGGGCTTACAAACTGACTGCACAGTATATCATCGAATTCATGAAAACATTTAATTAAAAAATGTATTTATCAAATGTTTTTACCAATGTTGATAAATACTCATGAACCCGATGACACGCCTACTATTCAGTCAGTTTGTAAATCCCACAATAATGTGTCTGAAGGTCTTACTTTGTAAAACAATGTTGGCGCTATAACGAGTAAATCCTCAGTTTGGCCCAGTGTCCTTGCCTTTTATGAGGAACACTGCAGTACGTCTCGTAGTCTTGGTGGGCATCTTGGTGAGGCTGTAAAAATAAAATACAATTGTAAATTTAACCATATTTTATTTGGCTGAAAAACCATGAATTGGCGTGAAACAAAAAAAAACAAAACTTGAAAAAATTACAATCAGTAGGTTTTTAAAACATATTATAGCTGTGTAAGAGCACCGCAAATTGTATGGAATTGACTCACTAAAAATATGTACTAAATGTGAGTCATAAGTTTTAAGTACGTTATAATCAAATTTTTGAGAGTAATTTAATGAGACTGATAATATGTTAACAGATTAAGGTAAATTTTTTTTGGTAAACTAAGTCGAATATTCTCCTTGTGATTTTGCATGTTTTAAAATTTATTCAAGATTTTATGACTGTTTTGGTTAAAAAGTAATATAGGTTATTAGAAAAAAAATTTTTTTTTGTTCCAAAGCATTTTTTATTTATATATAATGAGTCAGTGAAATAGACCCCATGAATGTGACGAGATTTTTCATAGTTTTTTTATTTCACACTAGAAATATTAATTATGATTATGAAACCTAAATAAAAGTGTTTATTTTCATAGAATATATGTTTTTTATTTATGTTATAAATATAAATCCTAAAATTTCCTATATTTTATTACTTGAATAATAACCATAAAAAGTGGGGACGTAGCTCCCCCACGAGTGTAGATATGTAGGCTGAAAATACCGAGATTGTGTATTGTTAATATCTTTATAAATAAAAAACGAAGTTGATTAACACTATGATAGGTACATATTTCGGCAAATTCAAATGTTAATTTGCTATATAATGATTTGAAACAAGGGGAATCAACAAAAACTTACGCGGTTCAAACGTAGACATCAAACAAACGGCGGTTGTGCAGTGTTGCCGCTAGTCACCCAAGAAAAGTCCGAAACTGATTCCAAAAATTACCCAAATTTACCCGTAATGTTAATTTTTTAACCAACTGTAAAAAAGATGGTTTATTTTTTTATTATTTGAAAAAAGAAACGATTTATTTTTACATACGGTACGTTTATAAAAATTAACAGAACTTATTGTGATATTATTTGTTTATAGGACCGATTTATGTCTTCCAAAAAGGTGATCTAAACTTTATTACTTATTTGATATAAAAAAACAGGATATATAAAAAAATACCAGTTTGGTCTTTTTTTACATTAAGTAAAAATTGTTTTGACAAAATACAGAGTAATTATTTATTAAAATCACAATAGATAGAGAAAGAGAACAACAGCACATGTTAACGTCACACACGCCACACATTGT